AGTGTGATCATCTAGTCTGACCTCCTGTCTACATAGACCAGAGAACTACCCCCAAAATTATTCCTAGGGTCGATCTTTTAGAAACACATCCAATCTTGATTTTAAAATCGTCAGGGATGGGAAATCTACCATTACCCTTGGTAAATTGTACTAATGGTCAATTACCTTCACTGTCAAAAATGTACGCCTTCTTTCCAGGTTGAATTTGTCTAGTTTAATCTTCCTGCCATTGGATTGTTTTACACTTTTCTCTGCTAGATTAAAAAGCCCAATGTTAAATATTTGTTCCCGTGTAGATGTTTATAACCAGTAATCAAGTCACCCCTTAACCTTCTCTTCATTAAGCTAAATGGATCGCGCTCTTTGAATCTTTCACCTGCACACGTGCTCCAATCCTCTAATTCTCCTGGCTCTTTTTGGGATAGTCATTGGGCCACAGAGTGACGCTGCAGTGCGGGGGTTAGCACACCTGCTTGGGACACGGGAGACCCAGCGTCCAGTCCCCGCTCCAATGGCTCTTTGAGCTCTTCTGCTTTGTATAGCTAATTAAACAGGACAAACTTCGAGAGCCCTACGAGAGCATCACACAGTGGTTAGGTCACCCTCTTGATAGGTAGGACACCCCCTGTTCAAATCCCCTTTTCCTCCCATCAGGCACAAGGGGGAATTGAGTCTGGGTCTCCTGCATTTCAGGCGAGTGATCTAATCCCAGGTTAAAAGGTATGAACAAGGCGCCCCCACTGCTTTTCCCCCTCCCCCAGTTTTGAATGGGACCCAGGCCAGGAGGTGTGCTCTGAGCATGCCTACAAAATTGGGGCCCCCATCCCCCAATTTGTGAGGCTTAGGTGTGAGAGGCATCAAGAGCAAGGCAAACAGGGCATGTGCCCAGAGGCAGAGACTCAGATGCCTAGAGAAAGTTTTACCCTGTGAGTTTAGGCATCTATAGGGCTAGGGGGCAGTGGAGCAGGGGGTTTGTGGATCACAGTAGAGTCTAAATCTGAGATTTAGGCCCTTAAGTACCTTTGTGGATCTGGCCTTAATTGCAAGACCCCCATTTTTCTTGTTGACTTCAGTGAAGTTATTGTAGGTTGGTACCAGTGTAACTGGGACCAGACTAACCCCTGAGCTTTATCCTAACTCAGTGATTCTCCATCAGGGGTACACGTTCCCCTGGGGGTACACAGGGATCTTCCAGGGGGTACATTAACTCATCTAGATATTTGCCTAGTTTTACAACAAGCGACATAAAAAGCACTAGCAAAATCAGTGCAAACTGAAATTTCATACTGACAATGAGTTGTTTATACTGCTCTAGGTACTATCCCCTAATGTAAGTACAGTATATATATTCCAGTTGATTTATTTTCTAATGATATCATTACAATGAGAAAGTCAGCGATTTGTCAGTAACAGCGTGCACTGCTACGACACTTTTGTATTTTTATGTCTGATTTTGTAAGCAAGTCGTTTTTAAGCGAGGTGAACTTGGGGGTACGCAAGACAAATCAGACTCCTGAAAGGGTGCAGTGGTCTGGCAAGTTTGAGAACTGCTGTGTAACTCACGATGCAACACAGAGAAGCCATATAACAATTGGAGGATTTAGTCAGTAAAACTTCCTTAGGACATGGGACCGTCTGGGTCACTGAATCCAGGCACCTGCTGTTGTACATGGTCCCATCATAGACCAGAATTATATGAATGGGGCGAATTCCATCTTCAGACTAGTCGGGTTATTTCCCACCACTAGTCCTATTGGGAAACTGTTCCAGATCCTCCTTCCTCTAACGCCCAGCCATCTCGGAGCCACAAGGGAAAGTACCTCATGGAATGGGCTGCAAAGTGCTGGAGGGCAAACCCAAAGCGGTGAGAGTTGGGAAAAGCCCACTGGCAAGGGTTGTGAGCACCTCTGCTTCTACTGTGCCTGGCATTCCTGTTGTTCTATTGTAAACTGCTGAATCCGTTGGGGGTAAAATAAGCTGAAAATATTTTTGATCCCGAAAGGTTTGGTCCCTTTGTTTTT